CCCACCCCCCCCCCCCCCCCAAACCCTATATGTCATTTCAGCATATTTTATTTCAAGGCAAAAACTAGAATGGGGAGGGGGTAATTAGTAAAAGATGGGGTCGCAAACAATAATATTTTTTTGTCTTTTCTTTTATGGTGATCAATGTGCTTTAATGACCCATAGATTTTATTGCCATTTATTTGTTACATTCAAACAAAGGTATATAAAACAAAACAATTTATGGGCCCAGGGCTAAAAAACTGGACGTATATGTTTAGAGTTATATTGTCGCTAACTGGCGGACATTTAAACAAGATGTCACATTTTTATTAATACTAGATAATAATGTCATTCCAACAAAGAATGTTGTCATATTTAAAGCTGGTAAAATATCAATACTTGAAAACTTTGTATTTGTACATGTAATAGCATGGTTTGTAGTGATATTTAGCATAAATACCTCAAGTGATATTTCAAAACTGTTATTTGAGACAAGTATCACAAGTGGTATTTATGCCAAATATCACGTATAAATCATGCTATTATTTGTTTATACTACTACCACAAAAGATTTGTAATTTTCACATGTAGGTATACCACTGCTCTAAGCCAATCAAATTGCAGAACTTTCTCACGTAGCACTATAAAATATAATAAATTATAAGCCAAACAACAATATGACCTCTTCAAATACTTCTCAAGTCTACGGTCTGAAGCCATTGATCAAAAAGCCAAGTTGGCTGAACTCCCTTTTTGATTTCATGATTACCTTACAGTTTTACCTTTTTGATTCGTAGTTTTTGGGGTTTTTGTCCTCTTGCTTGTTGTTGCAGCATGGGCTGGTGTTTTGTTATGTATTGCTGAGGATGCTGAAAAACACATTTTAAAAATTATAAACATAAAAACATAATGATAGCAGATCTAAAAAACCTTCAGAATGTTCAAGTTTGGATTGACGAATAACATTTCAAAAAATTTGTATACGAAAACATAAGAAAATTATCCATCCCAATAAACAGTACCAATATCAACAAGACAACATTGTTGAATACTGGAAAATATATTTTATTATTTATCTAACAAATAGAATGAATAAAAAATCACAAATTTATTATGATATATAATATACACAGTTGACTCCCGATACCTTGAACTTTTTTTATTTCCCTAGAAGGTTGGAGTTATCGGGAGTTTCGAAAGCAAATACCTGGGAATACTTAAGGAAATAAGCAAATGGGTTATTCAAGAAAAAATCCACACCCCCACGATGGAAGGCACGCTTTTTGGACCCCTCCTTCCTCCCGGATTTCCAAAACTGCCAGAACCCCCCTCCACTCAGGATTTCCGACTTCAAACACCCCCGCTCCCATGTGGATTTACATAAAATATTTAGATGCCAAAATTTTCATTTACTATAAATGTACAGGACTCTTCGTGGCATTTAGATGGTCTTTTTTTATTATTTATGACACACGATTGTGGGTTTGATGTGAAATTTAAGATAATATTTTAACATTTCTGATAGGAGGGAAAAGGAATGCAACTATCATTCACACTTCACTTCAAGGCAAAGAAGATATTGATTAATGTTTTGAAAAAGGAATTATAAGGAACAAAGCTTGATTAATAAACTGAGATGGACACTGAATTTTCACTGGAGTGCCAAAAAAGTAAAGATAAAGAATTGACACCAAGAATTCTTGTTTTGATTGTTTTTTCTTGTTTTTTTATTTTTTTTCTCAATGTTTCGGATTTCACTATGTACACCGTTTTTTTTTTGTTGTTGTTGCTTTGTTTTGTTTTGTTTTGTTTTTTTCAACATGGTTCACTGCAGTTATTAAGGGTAGAATTATATAGAAATGATCTGCAGGGAAACAAAAATTACTTCAAGTTAGCGGGAAGTTTGAGTTATCGATAGTTCAAGTTACCACTAAGGGTAAAATTACAGTATATGTATGAAGAAAATCCAGGAGAAATCAACTTTGGTTCAAGTCTTTTTAGTATGTGACAGATTATGTCATTTCCCTGAGATCTGGTAAAGATCACTCACTGATGTTATATCATTTGACACACAACAAATTACTTAGAAAGGACGCCTTTGCCACTTTCCCACTCTCTCTGATGTAAGATTTGGTTTCTGATTATTGAGTGGCATGTCATGGCAATAAATAAAAAACCTATAATTCCGATGACACACCTGGGAGTTGTTTATAAACAGACTAAGGCTTTTGGTTACTTTTGCCTGCAGTCTCATTAGTGTGGGAGACACCTCTGTCTAATGGTTAGTGTTCTGGCCTCCAGCTAGATATTTAGGATTAGTGCTGGTGTCATGCCCTAGCTGTCTCTATGCATAAAATAGGGACCTTACGAAACTACAATGGCGACAGCAAGGAGAATGTCAAAAAAGCAATAGGTTTAATGAGCAAAACAACAATTCTGCACAAGCATCTCACTTTCTTGTACATTTCTTTGATGTCCCTGCACAACTACAATGTGAAATGAGCAAATTTTAAGTTTACTTGAGGACGGGAACGGCAAAGCGAAAAACAAAAATTCTACAATGTCTTTTGGAATTTGAGTGAGGTCCCCTCTCTTCAGTTCCAACCAGAATTCCCTTTGTTTAAGTAACAGGGCAAATTGGGATAATCTCGAAAAAGGTGAAAAGGATGTGAAGCCTACTTTTCAGCGACGTTTTCCTGGACGTCACCTTTGTTCGATCGTGAGGTCCCTAACGTCTTAAACCAGGCGAGGTCAGAACAGCACACATCACCCAAACCTAGTTGATCAACTGCCCCCCCCCCCTTCCCACTTTTTACCCAACCACCACTCATTTCTCCCTACCATGTTCTCTACCAATCTGCAACTAACTCCAGTTAAATGAGTTTTCAAAACTTGATAATAAAATATTGTAATTACAGGCAAACTCACCAGCCTGTGCTAATGCACCACGTCGCTTGGGAGTTTGAAATCCATAGACTGTTGATCCACTGACTGGGGTATCACAATCACCAAGACCTAAAAATGACCATTTTTTTTTTCGCTTCAGCTGACATTTTATGCCAAAAAATCCGTATTTTGGATAGCATCTTTTTGCAAAAGAAGGACTGATTTTCCAGATTTTAGATCTCCTAAGAGGTTGGCATCTTCGTAAAAATTGTAGGTGTGGAGTGTGTAGAGTTGTTAACAATGAGGACCGAAAATCGAAAAATATTTATCACAGGAGATCAAAGGATAATCAAAATGCACATGCTCGGACAATATGAAGATAAGGACCAATGAGCATTATGCATGATGAAGACTAATGCATCAGTCATTTCCAACTGCACCCAGCCGAACCGCCCCCCCGAGCAACTGCAGGGCATTTGCCTGCCTTGTCAGTCCCGGGGCTGGGGCATTTGCAAATTTTGCACTGCCCGGGGGCTAGGCATTTGCCAACCCCCGCGCCATTCCCGAGCTTTTGACACGCACGCGGTTTCCCATCAGAATATAACTACAAAAAAGGTTTTACTTGAAAAAAAGTCGATTGGCTCGTCTGTAAAGGACAGGAATAAATTGTAGAGGGTTGTAAAGGCATGTTCTCGATTTTACATGTATGTTGCATTTCTTCATCGCTTATAAAGCCAGAATTATGTAGCGAACTTGGAGCTATCGATGTAGTCAACGTTTTTTGGTTATTGAATCAAATTTCTGTTGATATTATTTGAAGAACATCCTTTCATATTTACAAAACTATTCATAACATATAACATTACAGCGCTCTATTAATTTTAATGTCAATAATTTTATATCAATACTAAAACCATAAACTGGTGCATGTCGCCGCGGCATGAAGTCGTAATTAGAATCCTCGTGCTATTACAAAGGAAGACGTTAATTGAAACAAAAAATCGCACATTAAAATGCTTAAAATGGCACTATTTGACTGTGCAATCAATGAAAAATGTTGCAGTGTTGACGGAGGAAGGGGCATTTGCCCTCTTTTTTCGTCCCAACCCCGAGGGATTTGACAGCTCAAGAGTCCCCACCCCCGGGAATTTGCCATCCAAGGCAAAAAAAATGCTAATGCCCGGGGGTCAGCCGAGGGTGGGGGAGGGGTGGGGGGCTGGGCGCAGGTGGAATTGACTGATGCATAAGCTTATAGCTGATTCAGTAGAGGCTGCTTTGGGCATTGGAAACTGCACACTGGGCAGCTTTTTTTGGTGGTCACTGAAGTAAATTATTGAAGTGACTTTCAAATACCCAGTGTCCAATAACCAGATCCCAGTGCCCTAAGCAACCTTTATTATGGAATCAGCGGAGCTAACCGTACATAAAGCACATGTACATACAACTTTCAATGATCTACGCAGTAAAAAAAGAACCAAAAGAGAATGGCCCAAAACACTTCCGTTACAAAATTAATTGCAGCGAAAAACGAAACTTACTCGTCGAAACAGTCTTGCGTTTGACTTTTTCCATCTTCGGAACATCTTCATCACTGACAAATTCAACTTCATCCGCCATTATATTGAGCCATTGAGTGAACCCAGGGCCTCACGGTCACCGAAGTAGAGCCCAGTCCCTATGCAGCATTTTGAAGAATGTGTTGTTATTGTGGTTTGCAGAAACATGGCTGTCTTGCCGTTTTCTCGAGGTCCACTTCTAATACTTTCGATGTTAATCATTACTGTGTTCGTCTTACGTGCTTTTCTAAGTGTTCCTTCTGCATCAAGTCTTGGATCGCGACGACAAATTACTATGCTCACATTCAACATTTGGTATCCTTCTGTAAAGATGAAAGCGCGGATGAACGCGCTAGGAGAAATAGTGCAAAACTTGAAACCAGATTTTTTGACTTTTCAAGAAGTGACGCTGGACAGTCTTGCACTATTGCGAAGACAACACTGGTTTGATCGATATAACGTAGTTCCACGTCACCCCGAGGTCGAAATCAGGAAACATGAGGGGAAGCATTTTGTAGTTATTTTGACCGTTTATCCAGTAGACAAGTGGTTTATTTACCCTTTAAAAAATTCCCCAGTTTACCATCGTAAGCTGGTCAGAGCAGAAACCAAGAGCGCTGTTTCTTCAAATGTCAGATTTGTTATCGCAACGACTCACTTAGTACATGCGGCTTCCAATACGCAAAAGCGTGAGTTACAATTAAGAGAAACACTGAAGGTTCTCTCAGGCTACAAAAATGTGTGTGTTATGGGTGATATGAACATCAATGAGGGTAAATTTAAAGCTGATGGGGAAGTTGTCTTGCCTTCCTCTTGGTCTGATGCATGGTTGTCGCTTCCTGAAAACACAGTTAGCAATGGAAATACTTGGGATCAGAGCAGGAATGCATTTGCATCCATGCAGAGCAACACAAATACAACAAAGATCTATAAAGCAAGAGTTGACCGGGTCTTCTGTAAACTGTGAGACTTTAAAGTCAAGGAAATGAGGATTGTTGGTAATGAGTCGACCAAATCTGGTCTTCTACCCAGTGATCATTTTGGTCTGTTCACCATCATTGAATTATCTTCCCGCAAAACTCAGCATAAAAAAGCATCAGCAGCATCCGAGGTTTTCTTTAAGAGATCACCAGACTGGAGGAAAGTGATTAACCAAAAAGATGAAAAAAAGCTGATTTAAGGAGGTTAAATCAACAAAAGTATGCAAGCATGTAAAAATTTCTCAACTGTTGCACTAGAGTTTAAGATCCCTTCCCCCACCGGCCATGTTTGCCCCCCCTCCTCCCCACCCAACATGCACAATCTCACACCCAAACCTCTCATTACCCTGTGAAGGGTATGGTTTTCCAAGCAGTTTAGTCTGGGATAGGGAAAAGAAATCAAATAATTTGGATCTAGAATAAGTTATCGTTTTCCACGAAAATGATCAAATGGTTGAAGATTTTAGTCTAGAGTGAGGAAACTGGGAATTTACATTAAAAGTAATGAGATCAGCAAATTTGAATTTACCAGCAACTAATAAGGCTCAGGGCTCACATGTCCTTCACAGCGTGCATCTCCACCCAAAAGTTTCTGAACTAGACCTGCTCCCCCTGTCTGCTGATAGTGATTCGTCATCTTTAATAAGTTAAAATGGATTTCTTTTTTATGAAGAAAGTAAGATAAGCAGTTGCTCTCTAGTTTTCAAACTTATTTACGGTACCTTACCCAATTATTTAAACAAAGATTTTACTGTTAATAATCAAGTTCATACTAGAAATACCAAGTATGCGCTAAATCTTTTTAACTTCTTACTTTATCGATGTCAATACTTTTTATTTGCTTCTGAACTGATTTAGTATGCGTGTTAGTGATGACCAGAAATACCTCTGCGGCAGCAAGCTATACGCGTGTATAAATAAATGAAAATTCAAGGGCCTCAATACCAGAGAAATTACATCATTGTCAGATATCCAAAAAAGTGATTTACATGGCACGTCAATTCAATCATTGCCAAAAATAAATCGAATGCTCATCACTAGACACATTTGCATACAGTGACAAGCTGTTATGACGTACATGGTAGTTGGCGAAAACATTAAAAGGGAAATGGTCTTATCGCCAAATGATGAAGAAGTAGCTAATTCTTCTAAAAAACATACCCAACTCTACCCGACCATCGCAATTTTGCTAATTAAGATTCTTATTTTTTTCAACCACTCAGTAGTGTTCACTTGTTCCAAAGTAATCAACGCTTTCAATTAATAGAATTCGTGGACCGACACGTTTCGGAAAAGCTCTAAACTTAATCTTTCCTAAGCTTTCTTTGCAAAATGTGCGTGGCTTCGATCACGCAACGATTCTTAGTCCCAGTTTCCATGGTCTCCCCAAGGAATGCCTAGCACAATGCCCTCCCTTTTGTGTCCTTAATACGACCAAAAATTCTGGGGGTTACTTCCAGAAAAATTGGATGGGGGTGTGGGCAAGCTTCCTGAAATCCTTGACCTATTTCGGACCAAAATCTGTGATCTTCTTTACCCTATCCCTGGAGCCCGGTGCATGACTAGAGCGCGTGACAAGCTGTTACGGCACATACACGGTAGTTGGCGTAAACATTAAAAGGGAAACAGTCTTATCATCAAATGATGAAGAAGTAGCTAATTCTTCTAAAAAACATACCCAACTCTACCCGACCATCGCAATTTTGCTAATTAAGATTCTTATTTTTTTCAACCACTCAGTAGTGTTCACTTGTTCCAAAGTAATCAACGCTTTCAATTAATAGAATTCGTGGACCGACACGTTTCGGAAAAGCTCTAAACTTAATCTTTCCTAAGCTTTCTTTGCAAAATGTGCGTGGCTTCGATCACGCAACGATTCTTAGTCCCAGTTTCCATGGTCTCCCCAAGGAATGCCTAGCACAATGCCCTCCCTTTTGTGTCCTTAATACGACCAAAAATTCTGGGGGTTACTTCCAGAAAAATTGGATGGGGGTGTGGGCAAGCTTCCTGAAATCCTTGACCTATTTCGGACCAAAATCTGTGATCTTCTTTACCCTATCCCTGGAGCCCGGTGCATGACTAGAGCGCGTGACAAGCTGTTACGGCACATACACGGTAGTTGGCGTAAACATTAAAAGGGAAACAGTCTTATCATCAAATGATGAAGAAGTAGCTAATTCTTCTAAAAAACATACCCAATTTAATACTAGACTGCACAAACCATACCCTATTTCAGACAAAAATGGTCGAAATTGATATCCTATTTCCGACCAAAACAGCTAGAATTTTTAGATTAGATAGAACTAGGTTTTAGATATTTACATTTTTTGTAATTTTTTTCTTTTCTTATTTTTTGAGGGCCTCAAGTTCATTAGCTTCTAGCTATTAAGTGGTTACCCTTTTTAAATAAAGTGTTTACTTAATTACTTACTTATTCACAAATTTTATGAGACAAATAGGAGACCACCACACACTAAATCTCACTAAACAAGCTCAGACGCATTGAGTGCTTGCTTCTCAGTGGGTAGAGAATATTGAACTGTTTTGTAAGAGAAGGAAACTCTAGTTGATCTTCTAGATTTGGTTGTAAATATTAGGCCAGATCCATTGATGTCCAAACTTGTGCAGAACATGTTGAAATGGTCTTACAGCTAATTATTTCCACAATTCCTTGCCGTTAAGAGTTACTTTGTAACAACATATACTCTTATATGTGATCCTTACAATAAGTGATAATACCTAGCTTCAGTTCAAAGCTCTTATACTGGTAGGTAATAATGACTACAATATGTGCACCTTAATTGGCTGCTAAGCTAAGATTTTCTTGTCATGACTACGAATTACTAGGTAGGTGTCCAAGGCATATACAATCTGTGTTTTTAAACACAAAACTTGATAGTGGACATCCTTGATCCATATTATGGTCAATTGACAGCTGTCAATTGACCATAAAGGCTATCCACTGACCAGTGTCACTTGACTGTAGTGCAGGCTCAAGTGTACAACTAATAGAGGTGACGTGTTTTTTACATTATCAGCTGACCAGTTATTGGTTTTTAATGACCGAGGCTCAGGTCCAAAATTTCTCATTGTCAAAGAAGCTGTGTCTTGTGGTTTCGATTGCATCGCCAGCGAGTTGATTTTGGTTTAGTGAACACGACTTTAAATGACCTGTTATGCGTGGATATTGAAAATTATTTCAAGTGTTTTTTATTGTGTTCATTTTAAGAATAGGGCTAAACAGGCCATATAATAAATAACTTATTAACCTCATCTGTTTGGTCATTACAGGGAAATCTCAGACCTCAGCAGCCTTGATGTATCATTTGGTCAATACATTAAGGCCTCTTTTTCTGAGATTTCTCTGTAATGACCTCACTCTAAGTTTTGAAGTATTTAATGAAGAATTTTTGGGTACATTTCAGGGGGTCTTTCCCCCACACTCTTATACTGGATCTCCCACTGAATATCCAGTCGTCTAAGGTCATTTGAAAGTGAGTTTTCATTCTCATGGTGTTTGCAAATAAAATTCATTTTCACAAGAAAAGGTTCATTGAGAAATAGTGCTCTTCAAGTCCCTTTTCAATAAGTGCCATGGAAACACGATGATGCTCTTGATTGACTTGAATTAAAATGGCCTGGAAAAATAGCTTTCAGGAAACTAGACTGTTCACAGTCCCCTATTTTTCTCGTAAGATCGTCGAGATCGAGCGCGTCTCACCGTTAATGGCGGCCATCTTGATTTAATAGACTCGGTACATTTGAAATCAAGATGGCTGCCATTAACGGTAAGACGCGCTCGATGTCGACTATCTCAAGGAAAAATAGGGGACTGTGAACAGTCTATCGGGGGGCAGAGAACAGTAAAAAAGTATTTTCTCCACACACCCGGCTGCCCCACCCCACCCCACCCCCATTCCCAAGAGGTTGCTAGCATGCTATAATTATTGACAAATAAATTGTTTTGTGACGATAATATAAATCTGAAAAATAACTGACAATCAAGTAACAAGTTTGTTATAAAAGGACGAAAATTATCATGACTTTTAATGGTATTACTTGGAAATATCTATCAGAAAGTACATTGATCAATCCAGGGATGCAAACGTTGCCCAGAAATTTTTAAACTGCGAACGCAAAAGCATTTCTTCAAAACGGCCATTCCATTCGTTCAAAATATTCGGAGTTTTATGACTAACTAATCTACGATTTTCGGACAGGGGCATAGCCAGCCATTGTTTTACTTTTAAACCCGAGTTTTAGAAGTCCTTGTGGCGGAAGGAAGCGGGGGCGGAGGGGGGGGTGTTGAGGACATAAAAGTACGCCAAGTTAACGCCGAGAGTTCTGTTTTGCTTTAAAATGTTCCGTTAAATGAGTAATAAGCAATGAGGTATCGACGAATGGGCCCTCTCCAGGCAGGCAAGCAGTAGCGAACATCGAAATCATTGGGTATGGAGCAAGTAAGTACATACCGTAAAATTCCGAAAATAAGCACCGGGGCTTATATTTTTTAAAGGCCCTTTTTGAGAGTTTTATTTTTGAAGGGGCTTATATTCGGAGGGGCTTATCTACGGAGGGAAATTTGCCTTTCAAAATCGATTGAGCTAGCCTTATAGTTGGAAGTAAATTTACCGTTTTTGCTTTGTTTTACTTTGTATTTGAGGGCATTTTTCCAAGTACAAGCCCCCTGGGGCTCATATTTGGAGGGGCGATTTAACGGAGGGTTTTTTGCGTTACCGGTCTGGGGGGCTTATATTTGGAGGAGATTATACATGGACGGGCTTATTTTCCGAATTTTACGGTATACTCAGGATGGCACTAACAAATGTGGTTTCGCGTTCATTGAAATTATCATTCTGACTCGCTCAATTTGACAAAAGTAGGAGTTAAATATCAATGTTCAAAACGAGAAAGAGAAGGTCGTTATTGTTTGTTTATTATATTTTCAAATGTGAAAATAGGCAATTTTGCTTCTCAGATCCGTGCATTGATGGCGAAAAAAAGTACCGAAAAGTGTTCTGCACGTATACGCATATTGGGATACGCAATCCGTTTTTAGGCAGGCGTATTTTGGCAACCTCAATGGCCATTGATATATAAAGAAGCCCGAGGCTAAAAGGATAAAACAAGACAAATTTTAACAACTAAAATGCAATATCAATACTGCAATTGCTGTAGCATATGTATCCAGGCCAAAAAAATTAGTGAATTGCCATTCTCTCTGCCCACGATCAGCTCATGTTTAAAGATTTTATTATCTCAATTTCCCCATGACAAGCAAACAGACATGCCATAGTGTTCTGTAAAATTTACTACCTACGCGCAGTGGCATGGCTGTCCACAAAAATGTATCTGACCAGAGATAAGTATTTGAGAGTAATGTATAACTTTTGAATTTAGCAATCACATATAGTCACAGAAAACTGGCAAATTACACTCTTGAGGCCGGTAATACAAACGTTCCCTGAGGCTTGTTATTTTGGTGCTTAAGCAAATACGACGACGACCGCAACACCTTTGCTGTTCGCACATGAATCCTGCTTTTTTGTACATTTATTTGCCGTCACTGCACGAATACTACGTGAAAATGCCTGATTTCACGTTCTGTGCAGGACGTGAACTCAAGACAACCACTTTCTTTTTCTTTTCCTGACCTTCGCAGAAAAATTTGCCAACATTTGAAGAATTGAACGGGATGGAATAAGCGCGCGCGATAAAGTTTGAAGCATCGCGAGTTCATTCTTTAACATGGTGACGTTCTCGTTGCCTTCGCCGTCGTCATTGCTTATTAAGCTCCCTATTACTAGGATTTGCCCCGTATGTATACTACTGCTCTTTGAATTTTCTTTTCTTTGAAAATATGATCTTTCCTTGTACAAAAAATACACTACTCTTACAAGCTTGTAATGAAAATTTATTTCAGCTGGACTTTTAAAAGTACAATCGTGACAGGCAGTTTTATTCAGCGGCTCTTACAAAACTTATGGATTATAAATTGCTTTGCTTGGGAGCTGCCAAAAAAGAATTTTACAAGTAAACAAACTGAAAGACAGTATAAGGCTGATATACGTAATTGTGATTGCACGCACATAAAGCTTCAGTGAAGTTCATCCAAACATTTTCCGTCAATGGCAGCCTCGTGGTTAATTCGTTTGATCTTTCTGGCTGTTAATGTTCTGAGCGCAAATTTACTGGTGATATCCAACTCCGACTTCTGTGCGAGCGTTTTTGAAACTAAGAATGATAAGTTAACACCTTCGGCTCTATAAAACAGTTTTCGACAACTTTTTCTATGTCTCTAGACCCAAACGAAATATCTTTCTTTGTAACATCTTTTAAATACTCGCCATTTAAAGTACTCTAAAAGCCCTTCCTTTTCCCGACCATACCTAGTGTTGAAATTTAACACTTATATTACAACTTATATCACTTTTTTTTACTTCTGACGATTCCCGCTCGTATCTAATCCCAATTAAGAAAGCAAGTATATCTTTTATTATAAAAAGGCAAAGCTAAACTGAGACAATGTGTGCCCCTGGTTCATGTTAAAGTATACTGGTTTATTGCATATTCCTCCGTTCTTTATTACTTTACCTTTCAGACCATGTTTTAGTTGGTCATGTCATGAACACGTCAACTGTTGCTAACGAGTTTGAATGTCACCAATATATAGTGCCTCAAAAATAACACCTGCAAGTCATTTAATGTTCATCCTGGTGCAGATATTGCAATACGAGTTTGTGAGCTGAACAACAAAACACGGAAAACGACGCAGGATAAATTTAAAAGGAAGAAAGGATCTTCTTATTATGGACATGTTAAGGTCAGATCCACTGTTTGCATATGAACTATCGCTTTTTTACAAAGATGTTAATTTAAAAAAAATAAACGCAAAACAACTAACTTTCCGGCTCAAATTCTATAGAGTTTTGAGGTCTTCTTATGAATTCGCTGATTTGCGGAACTGAAATATCGTATATGCATGGTACTTTTGACGACATTTTCTTTTAAATATTGATTTGTCGTACAGTACCAGTTTGCCTGTGTCTTAAAATACATATTTGCTTTTACCCACACGGTAAATATTGCGTTTGGCAGGAAATAGAAAAAGGTAACAGATATCAACATATTAATATCCCTTCTAAAGCGAACAAAAGTGGTGAAAACTAAAGCACATAATGAGGTCATCTATATTTTTCATCTACTATTTGATGTTTCTCATTTCAATTCCTTTTTTCCTTCTCAGGTTTCCTGTCAAGATTTCCCCACCAACAAGAAAAAACAAACTGGTCATTGTCATCCGGATTACAGAGGCAAGAAATTTGTACTTCGTAAGTAACGCTTGTTTGTTTTTAAATATGATTTTACAATCGCTTCAAGGCGGAGTTAATATTTACCATATATAGTCATTTGTTTTATTAAAGTATTTGAGAGTAATGTATAACTTTTGAATTTAGCAATCACATATAGTCACAGAAAACTGGCAAATTACACTCTTGAGGCCGGTAATACAAGCGTTCCCTGAGGCTTGTTATTTTGGTGCTTAAGCAAATACGACGACGACCGCAACACCTTTGCTGTTTGCACATGAATCCCGCTTTTTTGTACATTTATTTGCCGTCACTGCACGAATACTACGTGAAAATGCCTGATTTCACGTTTGGTGCAGGACGTGAACTCAAGACAACGACTATCTTTTTCTTTTCTTGAACTTCGCAGAAAAATTTGCCAACATTTGAAGAATTGAACGGGATGGAATAAGCGTGCGCGATAAAGTTTGAAGCAGCGCGAGTTCATTCTTTAACATGGTGACGTTCTCGTTGCCTTTGCCGTCGTTATTGCTAAATAAGCTCCCTATTACTAGAATTTGCCCCGTATGTGTACTACTGCTCTTTGATTTTCCTTTTCTTTGAAAATATGATCTTCCCTTGTACAAAAAATACACTACTCTTACAAGCTTGTAATGAAAATTTATTTCAGCTGGACTTTTAAAAGTACAATCGTAACAGGCAGTTTTATTCAGCGGCTCTTACAAAACTTATGAATTATAAATTGCTTCGCTTGGGAGCTGCCAAAAAAGAATTTTACCAGTAAACAAACTGAAAGACAGCATAAGGCTGATATACGTAATTGTGATTCCACGCACATAAAGCTTCAGTGAAGTTCATCCAAACATTTTCCGTCAATGGCAGTCTCGTGGTTAATTCGTTTGATCTTTCTGGCTGTTAATGTTCTGGGCGCAAATTTACTGGTGATATCCGACTCGCACTTCTGTGCAAGCGTTTTTGAAACTAAGAATGGTAAGTTAACACCTTCGGCTCTATAAAACAGTTTTCGACAACTTTTTCTATGTCTCTAGACCCAAACGAAATATCTTTCTTTGTAACATCTTTTAAATACTCGCCATTTAAAGTACTCTAAAAGCCCTTCCTTTTCCCGACCATACCTAGTGTTGAAATTTAACACTTATATTACAACTTATATCACTTTTTTTTACTTCTGACGATTCCCGCTCGTATCTAATCCCAATTAAGAAAGCAAGTATATCTTTTATTATAAAAAGGCAAAGCTAAACTGAGACAATGTGTGCCCCTGGTTCATGTTAAAGTATACTGGTTTATTGCATATTCCTCCGTTCTTTATTACTTTACCTTTCAGACCATGTTTTAGTTGGTCATGTCATGAACACGTCAACTGTTGCTAACGAGTTTGAATGTCACCAATATATAGTGCCTCAAAAATAACACCTGCAAGTCATTTAATGTTCATCCTGGTGCAGATATTGCAATACGAGTTTGTGAGCTGAACAACAAAACACGGAAAACGACGCAGGATAAATTTAAAAGGAAGAAAGGATCTTCTTATTATGGACATGTTAAGGTCAGATCCACTGTTTGCATATGAACTATCGCTTTTTTACAAAGATGTTAATTTAAAAAAAATAAACGCAAAACAACTAACTTTCCGGCTCAAATTCTATAGAGTTTTGAGGTCTTCTTATGAATTCGCTGATTTGCGGAACTGAAATATCGTATATGCATGGTACTTTTGACGACATTTTCTTTTAAATATTGATTTGTCGTACAGTACCAGTTTGCCTGTGTCTTAAAATACATATTTGCTTTTACCCACACGGTAAATATTGCGTTTGGCAGGAAATAGAAAAAGGTAACAGATATCAACATATTAATATCCCTTCTAAAGCGAACAAAAGTGGTGAAAACTAAAGCACATAATGAGGTCATCTATATTTTTCATCTACTATTTGATGTTTCTCATTTCAATTCCTTTTTTCCTTCTCAGGTTTCCTGTCAAGATTTCCCCACCAACAAGAAAAAACAAACTGGTCATTGTCATCCGGATTACAGAGGCAAGAAATTTGTACTTCGTAAGTAACGCTTGTTTGTTTTTAAATATGATTTTACAATCGCTTCAAGGCGGAGTTAATATTTACCATATATAGTCATTTGTTTTATTGTCTGCTACAGCAAAGCAGCGAGGCTGGAATTCCAAGGACCCTGCTTATTCCTGTATAAGCATCCGGGACTCTGGTGATTCTAAAGGAGACGGGATGTACTGGATCGACCCTGAGAAAAGTGGAAACCCGTTGAACGTTTACTGTGACATGACAACTGACGGAGGTGACTGAGATCTGCTCTTAAAAAATCTGAAATGGTGCAAAATGCTTTTCTATTTCTGATTGGCCTAAATTCCCCGGCTTATTCTTTATAAACAGCTATCATTTTCAACTTTTGAAGACGTCTAACGTCAATTGTGCAGATATCGTTTGAGAGAGGGACAGCAGAAGGCGCAGTAGCTCAGCTGTTTTAACAAAGCTGAAGATTTCCCCGGCAAGGTTTTTGGGGTCATACAATTTCACTAATTTTCGTCTTAAATATGCAGGTTGTCTTTTCGGACTGACCGCGAACGTCGGCCTCGTGGTCCTTCATGAGAACAATTTCACGATGTTAATTAAAAAGCACTTTTAAATTTCATGTGTGAAACGAAATGACTCAGAGACGTGAAAGTAGGTCTCTTAGTCTTAACCAGGGTAGCGAAATGAACAATTTTTTGTCTTAAACCGGGTTAGGGTTTGAAGGGCTCGGCACCTCACTTTTATCCAAACTTCCCTTCCCTTCCCCCACGAGGATTTCACACGTTATGAGAACCTACCGGTTATTTAAAACGATAGACAATTACAAATGTGAAGATTACCTACATCAGGTCACTAATACGCGACACGGAATAGCTCTAACAAAACTTCGACTTAGCAACCACGAATTAGCCATGGAGACAGGACGTTATTCGGGACCGTTTAAGAAACCTGCAGAAAGAATTTGCCCAATTTGTAAAATAGAAATGGAGGACGAATACCATTTCCTAAATCTATGCCCTGCTTACCAGGAAAAAAGATGTTCGTTACTAGATTATTTGGAAAAAGAATATAGAATAAACAAAAGCAGAATTTCACCTAACAAAATATTCATGTTGCTAAACCCTTCCCCCAGCGGAAATGCAAAAACTAATAGCAAAACATGTATTCGAACGCTTTGAAAAAAGGAAAGGGGAAGACGGCAAAAAGTAAATACTCTAGGACTTATTTAATTAATAACGTATTAGCCATATATGGTTAGGAATTTTTTGTTGTTTGTAATTTTAGTTATTTGGATATAGTTGATATACTATTTATTGTATAAGACTCCAAATAAAAAACATGTATGCATATATGTTTGTATGCGCAGAAGACAACCAAACTACTGTCTAAACATATCACTCAATCTATGACAATTTCGGGGTTTGAAGAATGTCTGCTAAAATGTACATCCCTCCCTAGTAATTTGAAACAGCAAAGATAGGCATGTTTTTATATTGGAAATATCTTAAATGAGCAATAAAACAATTATTATATTCGGCTTTCGTATGATCTGAAGATGATAATGCAGATCTCCGAGTGTGTCATCTGCCTCGTTGGATACCACGCTCCATCGAATAATTTCTTCTTGGCGAGAATTGTGAATTGAAATGAAACTCCTAACCGTCCTGAGCCAATGCAACTTCTCGAAATCATGTAATTTAATTTCTTTCTGGGATAAATTGACGATTTAATAGGCCTTTTTAATAATTCGAAGCAAATGTAAGTTATACAGGTGTGTAAACTGTACGTACACTGTACATAACATTGTTATTCTATCTCCGAATCAGATTATTATTTGAATAGTTGAAATAAGAAAAAAGAACACGAAAAGAAAGATGCAACCTGGAAATGGCGACATTGTTGTTTATTCTTTTACTCTTGAAGATTGTTTGTTCTTAATGTTGACCCGAAATATAATTTTATGTTATAAAGGCCGGTTATTAGACACGATAGTCCTCGGTAGCAGCCAATTTACACGTTATAATTTAGTGGTTGTATCCCCTCTACGATCAACATTGCAGTATTCTGCTTGCAGAATTTAATAAGTCTGCTGATCAGGTCTTTATATAGACTGAACATGGCCAACACGTGACCATGGTGAGAAAAGCCAAGAGCAACTACCTTTCCTGCCTGTTAAAAACTGGCTGAGCCAGTTGGAAATTAACTTTTATTTGTGCAGCTCAGAAACACAAGTTTATTTTCTGTGCATTGAAGAAAAATTGAAATTGAGCCTACGAATATTTAAAAATTGAGTAGTAACTAATCAGGGGAAAACTTCATAAAAACGCAAACTCGATGGGTCAACACGAGAGGCCGCGGTACGGCCATGTGATATTGCTCAGCCGATACCCTGTTTTGAGGGCTGTCACCTGACAAAAATATGGATGTCCAATATCAGGTTACAGACTCCCATATTGGTTTCCCTATAGTGCAGACGGACGGAAGGACGATTACGTGACCAAATTTTCCCGGATAGATAGAAATGCGCGCGTCGAGCTCCGCTATTAAAACAACCTTTCTTACTGTTTTTACAAATGTACAACTTCGATAAAATACCTCTTTATCTTCAGATTTTTCTTTCAGGAGGATGGCTCCTCGTTTCCAACATCACGATGGAAAGCTCAACTCCTCCTTCTCAGCTGCCAGTCAAGACTTCATACCGTGGAATAACCAGTGATCAGATGGTTCTCACAAAAACCGCTATGAATGAGCTGAGAACACACTTGTCTTTCACCCAACTGAGATTCCACTGCAGTAAAAACAATGGACGAATTTCCACGTGACCACTGCTGCTAACAGCACTGGTGAAGCTGTAGTCCAGTACTTCAGCGGTCAGACGGATGTCCAGCCCGCCTCGTGTGGCTCATACGTCAGAATGGAAAATGACAACTCAGGGTCAGCAGGTGTTTGCCAAAGGTTGGGATTGGAAAGTGGCTCAAATGAGGTAACTAAATGGGGCCATGGATTTGATCAAGAGAGATTATACGACCACCCTGCTTGGGTTTATGGTTTATATCATTAGACGCTTGATCATCGTAGTTATGGTCAAGCAAAAAGATGGGAATGCGACGATTATCTTGTTGGCGTGACCACTGGTGATTTCTGGAAGATTTATGTTCGCTAAAATGTTTGTGTGTTGACGTCTGTTTTATTGTTAGTCTTATTGGCTGTAGTCGTTTAAAAAGTACTAGTAGTAAAATGACAGCTTGGTAAAAATAGCCCATTGCTAACGTAGATGAAAATACCTTGATTTCAAGCCATTTATAAAATATAAAAATATATATATAACTGTTATAAGAGGTTTTCCTTATATTCGTCATTTAAAGTAAGCTTTACATCAGTTTTCGTATATTGCATTTAGTTTTCAAGTATTAGCTTTGAATAAAGCCACAAAAAGCTCATGCCATTTAATCATTGTGCCGTTTGCTTTCAACTGTGTCGCATGCTCCAAAGTCACTAAATATCAAATTATCCTAGAAAAGCCAACTATAGAGCTTATTTATGTATAAGCAAGCAAACTGAGGCCCAGTTAAGCAGTCTAAGCCCCGGGGGATACTTCCTGCAATGGCCTATACGGGAGGCAATGCTAGAAAGGGGTACCTTTGTCAGGTGTCAGGTATAAGATATGGTGGGGATTTTACTCAAGTTGAAGTATAAGAATGGGCAGGGAAATCTGTCTGTAAAAAGACCTAAAGTTGATAGAAGAATTTATGGCTGTGTCAAGAACATTTCCTGGTTTTGTGATTTATTTATATTTTAAGGGCAGTGCATTTTTAACAGTTTAAAGGGATCGAGGGTCTAAATTAGGTATGAGAAAGTCAGAAAGGGATCCTTTTTTTAATGAAAGATACACGGATATATTAAAGCTGAAATGTTGAGTGACCAATTTGCTACAGTTTTCACAGATGAACTGAATCTACTGATTTAACATCCCAAGTAAGGGCCCTAGTATGATCGCAGACATCCCCCAACTGAAGTTTGAAGTTTCAGGCATAACACGCAATTTTTAAGAAACGCTAACGCCAAAAAGGCCTGTGGTCCTGACAAAATTTCTCTCGCTGGGTTCTGAAAGAAGCTGCGCCTGTCATTGCCCCATTTCTCCAGTATATTTTTACTCTATCAATACAAAACAGATCAAGTCCCAAGTGACTGGGTCACTGCAAATGTCACCCCAGATTTAAAAAAAGGAATCGCAAAAAGCCAAATAATTACCGACCGATTTCTCTAACATCTGTGTCTTGTAAGATTATAGAACATATTAGTATATACACACTCAGTGATCTTGGTGATTTAAGCAATCTGATTGGTTCGCTATCTCGGACTATTCAACAATATTCACCTCCCAGCGAGTGGATATAGAGTACTAAAGTGTGACGTTATAAAAATGAAATTTTTTGAAATTATGGGATTTGTCAGGATATTCTGAAAGAACAATGTCTAAGAGGCCTACTTGCCAAAAATGAGCATTTGGGAGCAAATTGTTTCGGAGATCGTAGCCCAGTTATGCTTACAAAACTCCATACAAACCCTTCTAAATTTTTTTTGGGTCGACCCAAAAAAAAATTAGAAGGGTTTGTATTGAGTTTTCTGAGTATAACTGGGCTACGATCTCAAAGACAATTTGCCCCCAAATGCTCATTTTTGGCAAGTAGGCCTCTTGGACATTGCTCTTTCAGAATATCCTGACAAATCCCATAATTTCAAAAATTTCACTTTTATGACGTCATCACTTTAGTACTCTATTAGGGCCATTTATACGAGAATGTCTTCTAAGACGAGAACAGCTCGTATAAATGGTTCGCTTCTTATTTCTGTTCCTGACTCGTTTTCATGTGAATGTTGCCCGTAGCAACGGCAATCCAACGTGGCGCGCTAAAAATTAACGCATGCGCACTATGCGTTCGCGTCTTATTTAAGACGCGAAGGTCATTTATACGAAGTTCTTCTCGTCTTAGCTAAGACGCGTCTTATCTAAGAACAGGTGTTAAGGGCTGTTCTAAAATAAGACGCGTCTTAGCTAAGCCGCGTCTTATTTTAGATGAAATGTGCCGTTTATACGGAAAGTTCGCGTCTTATTTAAGACGCGTCCTATGTAAGATGCGTCTTATATTTCCTCGTATAAATGGCCCTAATGTGTGAGCTCGGTGTTTTTCCCATTTTTTTAGAGAACGATCTTTTAAAAGTCGACAAAATCCTAGGGCTGACTTTTTTTAAGGCAAGAAAAGACTTGCAAGGATTCAATACGGCGTTTTTCAATTTACTGTAGCTGAGTTTGGTACTCGATGGATTGTTTACAACTCCCGTGTATTCGCGTAGAAGAAGCCGTTGCGTGAACTCAGCGTTTTCTAACAAGAAAATTTTGGCTCAAAAATCGAAGTTTATTTATCACAAACAAATTTAAAAGGAAATGTTTGCAGAAATTCTACGTTTCAAGTAAACAGGAAAAAGAATGATACAGGAAGACGTCGTCTTACCTCGAGCAACCGAGCCGGCCATTTTTGTCAGCACTTCATGCGAAGAACGACACAACAAGCCCTTTTGGCTATAAACTTGGCGAGTCAACAGAAAACAAGAAAGCTCCACTTTTCTTCTCAGGTAAGGAAACAGTTCAAACTTTTAGCGGTTCCATTTAAGCCATTACGCTGCTGATAACAGGGACCGCGGAGGGGGAGGGGCTGGTAGGGCCGCGGCCCCACCACTTTTTTGCGCCCCCGCCCCCACTTTTTGCGCTAAAAAGAAAAATAATTAAAATTAAAAAAAAGACTTCAAACAAGTTTTTTTCCGTCTATATTCCGCTATATTTTCTGTATTTTCTTTAATTTCAAACGCCAGGCATTTTGTGGGGTTCCTGTGCTTTTCGCGGTAATTGTGCCCTGGGGCCGACTTGCCCCTTGATCAAACGCCATGCCTTGGCATAGCCTTGGCCACCCCTTCGCTTCGTTCGGCAGCGTGTTTTGTAAATCCAGCTCCGGCAGAGTTTTTTATCAGTTTTATCAGACNCATGTTTGAAAATTCTGCAAAGATCTATTTTTAAACTTACGCGTGATTTGATCTGTCAATCAAATTGTACTTTTTAATGGTTTCCTCTCTGATTTTGTTGAGATCACTTCGTGTGTATATACTAAAACAATCATTCTTTTCAATCTCGGTGAATAGTGGCTTTGGGAATATTTACCTCGCCGCTTTCGCGGCCCGGCAAATATTTAGCCACTATTCACCTCGATTTCAAAGAATAATTGCTAATTATATACCGGCACATCATGAATCACCTTGATTCAAATGCTATTCTGGTACATTATCAACATGGCTTCAGACAACGGCACTCTTATGAAAAGCAACTCATCACAATTATTGAATCAGAGGCAGTTAACCTTGACCTTGGTCAATAAAATAATTTGTTGTTACTCGACTTTTCAAAGGCATTCGACACGGTGCCCCATCGCCGATTGTTGAATAAATTAAATTTCTACGGAATTCGTGGAAATCTCAAGACCTGGTTTCGAACAATGGCTAACCACCTAATATTAAATATTCCCCTGAGATCAGGTATGCCCTAGGGGACTGTGTTGGGTCCACTCATGTTCCAGACCTTTTGTACACAAACGATATCGGCGAAAACACAAAAGTCCAAATTGGCCTTTTCGCGGACGACGCGGTATTTTACTTTGGTACGTGTAATCAAAGATTGTAATGATGCAGAGTCACTACAGCAAGACCTAAACACACTTGTACACTGAGCGGACACATGCAAGCTCTCGTTTAATGCAACGAAATGCACCATCCTAAGAGTCTTGTGCTCAAATACTACCTCTAGTTAAATACCAATACACCATCCACGGAAAACATTGGAAGGTGTTGATCACTATAAATACCTTGGACTTGAGCTATCCAGTGATGTAAACTGGTATTTTCATATTACTGGAATTATAGACAAAGCCAACAGACCTCTTGGCCTTATAAGAAGAAGCCTAAATAAGTGCCCCGAAAACGTAAAAGAGCAAGCGTATCTTGCTTTAGTTAGACCACAGCTTGAATATGGATGTTTCGCATAGGACCCGCACAGTCAAAAGCAGATAAAGGACACTGAGAGTATGCAGAGACGAGCGACACGTTTTCTTAAAAATGAATATAGCATCACTCCTGGAACTGTCACAAAAATTCTAACTGAGTGATTTAAGTTAATGATAAGTTCGACGTTTGTCTCAGTCTAGCTACTCTTACTATTAAAGTTTGCTGGA